CGTCCTGTCCCTGCAGCTGAAAAACACCCCCACAGCATGATGCTGCCACCACCATGCTTCACTGTTGAGACTGTATTGGACAGGTGATGAGCAGTGCCTGGTGTTCTCCACACATACCGCTTAGAATTAAGGCCAAAAAGTTCTATCTTGGTCTCATCAGACCAGAGGATCTTATTTATCACCATCTTGGAGTCCTTCAGGTGTTTTTTAGCAAACTCCATGCGGGCTTTCATGCGTCTTGCACTGAGGAGAGGCTTCCGTCGGGCCACTCTGCCATAAAGCCCCGACTGGTGGATTGCTGCAGTGATGGTTGACTTACTACAACTTTCTCCCATCTCCCGACTGCATCTCTGGAGCTCAGCCACAGTGACCTTTGGGTTCTTCTTTACCTCTCCAAGGCTCTTCTCCCCCGATAGCTCAGTTTGGCCGGACGGCCAGCTCTAGGAAGGGTTCTGGTCGTCCCAAACGTCTTCCATTTGAGGATTATGGAGGCCACTGTGCTCTCAAGTGCAGCAGAAATTTTTTTGTAACCTTGGCCAGATCTGTGCCTTGCCACAATTCTGTCTCTGAGCTCTTCAGTCAGTTCCTCTGACCTCATGATTCTCATTTGCTCTGACATGCACTGTGAGCTGTAAGGTCTTAAATAGACAGGTGTGTGGCTTTCCTAATCAAGTCCAATCAGTATAATCAAACACAGCTGGACTCAAATGAAGGTGTAGAACCATCTCAAGGATGATCAGAAGAAATAGACAGCACCTGAGTTAAATATGAGTGTCACGGCAAAGGGTCTGAATACATATGACCATGTGATATTTCAGTTTTTCTTTTTTAATAAATTTGCAAAAATTTCTACATTTCTGTTTTTTTCTGTCAAGATGGGGTGCTGATTGTACATTACTGAGAAATAAAATGAACTTTTTTGATTTTTGGAAAATGGCTGCAATGAAACAAAGAGTGAAAAATTTAAAGGGGTCTGAATACTTTCCGTACCCACTGTATATCTATTTGCAAGATTGGTTTCATTCTGCAGAATCCCAGGACTACAGTTTGTGTCATATCTAAAGCAAACTTTTCATTGTACTATGTAGCCAAGCAAGCTATTTTAGTCATACCCCTCCAGTCTAATCTATTACTTTTGTTAATCAGTCATACAGTTGAAGGATACGGTATGTGTTGAACATCAATCAGCTCACATGACAGGTTCACTCAGAAATGTGCCTGATTTCACTTTGCTTCTCAGGTCCCAGGTGTTATGTGAACACTGCTGACACTCCTGAAATAACAGGAAAGTATTGATGACAGCAATATCTGACAATTTTTTCCAGCTTTCTAATTTTGTATGCAAAAGCTACTGTGTTATTTTTCCAGGACATTTATTACAGTCACTGGCTACCCTCAATTTCATTACCAAGGTCAAGTTTAACAAAATGTTAATATATTGTCTTACTCTTACACTAACTCATGTGTTCATGGTACTTTTATATTGTTCGTTATATGCGGGAAAGAGGATGGTGCTCATGTTGTTGCTAAACAACAGCTTCTTCCATATCTTCCCTTTCCTTGTCTTCTTACAACTTAAGTTGCTTAATTGTCCTTGATTCACAATGCTGAGCTGTCTGCTGCTAGTCTCAACACATCAGATCAGTGTACCAGTCTCCATTCATCACTGCAAAACAATGACATGTATACACATTATATATACATTGTCCATTGATGTCTCGCTGTGTCTGTTTTGAAACACTTGCCTTACTTCAGCTAAGGACCTAGTCTATACAGAAAATTCATTTAAAAAAAAAAATCTTACTTTGCATGTATAACCCCTAAAAGTGATGACAGGGGGAAAGTGCCTCAGGCTACACTAAAAAAAGTAAATTAATTGAATTTATCAACATAATTATATCTGCCAAAAATGATTAATTAAGCAGCTCAAATTATGTTTGATGTTTGAAGAGCAAAATTAAAGTTCTTTCCTCCTTTGAGAAGGATAATAAAAGATTAAAGAAATGCAACAATATAATCTGGACTTTGTTAAGAGTAGTAGTAGTCTGCAACGTATTTCAGCTAGATACCCAACTGATTGATGACTTCTAAAATGGGTAATCTCCCCAATCTGACTGTGAACCAATTTACTACAATCACTCCTTGGTCATGCGCACATGCTTTTAAGAGCACAAGTAAGGCATTCTCCTGCTTTAACAACTTCAAACAACTACAGTAAACACAATTACATTTCTGGTGATGTCCAAACTTTAATATACCATAAGTTTGTCTTACCTTTGAGGTCTGAAAGGTTTTTGGTGATCAGTCATTTATCAACACAAATCCTCTCTGGTGGTCAGCTCTGCTTCCGTAGTGAGTGACAGATTTTAAAAATCATACATGGATTTTTGTGTTACAGACAAATCCTGCCACCATCAGCATTTTTCATATGTGGTTAGAACTTTTTAAAATTTAGATTTCAGAGGGTGTGAACAAAGCAATTGTTCATTGAAACTGAATGCCGAGCCATTGGTTCATATCTTAGACAAGCATGTTGCAATTCTGACCTCACCCCACTCAGTGTTGTAGGGCATTTTTCATCAGCAGTCTGGGGTAAAAAACCTGCACTGCTACTCTAAAATGTCTCTGATTGCTATCTCTGATTGGGGTGTTAAGTGCAACAGTAGTTTACACCTACTGAAATTTGGCCAACATCTATGCACATGTATGATGTGTTTACAATGTGATGGGCCGGAGATACCAATTTTATTCAAATAATATGTCAAAAGCTGAATACACTTGGAATTCAGAAACAGAATCAAAACAATTTTAATTCTTAACACCCAACCCTAGAGCTAAGTGACCCTTTGTCAGCCAAAAACTATTTTAACTGGGATTTACACTTGGCTTGGTTTATTTTAATGTCAAAACCTAGTAGAGTTTTGCTGAAGATACCTTACCCCAGGCTTAATAAATACATTTTGTAGTGTAGAAGTATGTGATTAATGTCACTGCATGGTGAAAAAGCATTGCAGTTGCTTTTCAAGTGTCCTACTGAATTATTGTTATTATTAACCATTAAACAACAGCTTCATTAGATCTATTTTGCTTGACACTTGCCTTCAAACCAGTTTTAGTCTCATCCTTAAGTTATAAAAACATGCCACGCTTAGTCAGTTGCTCCATGTACATTATGAATGTAATAAACAACCTATCAAATCCCATTTTCTGCAGTTGCTGCTTCTATCAGCCATATGCACTGGCCCAGTCATCCCCCACTACAGGAACAGCGGAAAGAAGTCAGCACAGATCAGTGCAACGTGATTGGCTAATACTCTGTCAGCAGACATCAGAAGATGAATGGTATTGGCCGGTTGTCAGTACCAGGGTGAGGACAGCTCCTACACATTGCCCGCATGGGTCTCTCCCTCTCTCTCTCTTTCACAAACCCACATTTAATTTTAATGAATAAGAACGAAACTGTTCTAAGACTGGCTCCAGTAGCTCTTTTCAATCCAGATTAGTGTTAAAAATAATGTGCTAACTGTGACTCTTGTCTACAGGCACTTTAAACTGATGGTGGAAGATGCTTAATGAAGCCTATGCTAACTTTACGCATGACTCATTTTTGTTTTGCTTAGAACCATTTCTTGCCCAACCTGGCATGGACCTGAACAATAATGACCCCTCAGTGAGATCACGCAATGGTTATTTGAATGGACCTGCACATGACCTACATATGAAATGCATCCATGCACACAACCACAAAGCAATATTTACTTAACCTTTGTAGCGACCGTCTAGTATAAGGGTGCAGTTTGTGTAAAGCCTTGTAGACACTGCCCTGTGCAAATAATGACAGAGCTTAATTTAGTTTTCATCTTATGTCACGGATCTCAGTCATTCCAAGAAGATTTCATGAAATACAATGCAGGTTACTCCACTGGAGCTTAGTAATTAATCAGTTATTAAGCGAATCAGTTTTCTCTATTGCTTCTTTTGACAAAACCTCTGTATCTTTAGATCTTATTGATTAGTAGATTGACAAATAATTGTCTTCTATTTTAATGATAATGATTTGACTAATAGTCATTTTTTTAAGCAAAAACACCAAAGATTCTCTGATTTCCAGTGTCTCTAATGTGCGATTTTGCTTCTTTTCTTTGTTTTATATCATTGCAAATGAAGCATGTTTTGGTTTGGGACTCTTTTGGGCAGAACAAGCTGTTTGAAGACCTCACCTTGGACTCTGGGAGCTTGTGATGGCCACTTTCTCCTCATAAATTAGAGTTTAAATGATTAATCTGTCAAAAAATAATCAACAGATAAATCGTTGATGAAAATATTCATTAGTTTTCATGACAAAGCAGAAATAGTTCAAAACAGAGTTTTGAATGAACTTAAAATAACATCAAGTATTGTCACTTTTTCATATATCATCATATATGTAGATAAGCTTGTACAGTAGCCTAGTTACTTTCACTGAAATAACAGTATTACCATCTCTTTTAAAAGAGAAAACCATGGGACTGAGGTGATGCAGTTTACCAGCCTAGGGCAGGGCTTGTTTCAATATGCTACTGGGCCAGTGACTGTCTAAATGGAGGAGACAGCTGGAGCCATGGACGACCTTTATAATAGTACTGTATCGCGGTAACTGATGCCGAGAGAAGAAATCACAGGAAGTCAAGGACAAATAAAGATGCAAAATGTAACAGCGAAGTGCCAAGTAGGGAAGTGTGGCAGAGCATCGCATTCGCACGCGGCTAACGGCCTGCGTGGATTTCTTCATTTGATGAAGCACGAGCAGCAATTTGCGGATGATGACAGACAGCCTGATATAACGTTAATAGGATACGGCGAGGTTTAATCCTGGTGAGCGAGGCGGATGCCTATGTGCCATTACAGCCTCCAATTCACCGTTTGGCACGTACACACCGCGGTGAATTTGCAGAGAGAAAAACGTTTACTGTGATGTGGGATTACAAACGAGACGCTAATATATCGCAGTGTAGCCTTACCAGTTCTCCTGCATCCATCGGATGGCTTCGTCCTCGTTGAACTGTCTCTCGAATTCGTACTCTTGCAGAGCTAGCACCGACATGCTCGCTGTGTTTCTGTTCAAACCACTGTTGAAACAAGACGATACACGACTCGAGGTGTTGCTATTTAGTCTGTTTCCCCGCAACTCTTGACTCGCATTGCTCGTGCTGCTGTCAGAACCTCGCGGTTGTGCGCGGGCAGCTCGGCTGTCGCGGCACCTTCGTCCTCTACCGGCTGACCGAGCCTACGCCCTCTTCCTTAGGAAGGTGGATTCCAGGTCCTAACGCCGCCGAATTTGTACCTCCCTTACATTGTTGAAATGTAGCCTATTAAGTTTACTACATTTTAAGTCTTAAAAAAATAATGTACAAATATTGATATGTAATAATTAAGATTTTTATTCAGTTCACTTTAGTTAAATTTAGTGCAATTTGGTTTACCTCATTTCCTTTTGAAATCAAAGGCTGCACAACTAATTTCTGGATTTATAATTTCATTGTTTAGCCTCCACCAAAATCCACCATTTGCACTTTCCAAAAACTCAATCTGACATAGACTATAAATATAAGAATTGCTTGTTTAGTTTGACCGACTGTCAAGAGCCCAAGGTTTTTCAGGCACTATCATAGATGACCAAGAAAGCCAGAAAATATTCATAATTTAGAAGCTGTAAACATTGAATTTTTCACTAATGACTTATCAGTCTTTAAATTAGCTTCCATATAATTTTCTCTTCAATAACTAATTGATTAATCAATCATTTCACCTCTAATTTGATCTGCTATTCATTCTTTTTCACTTCAGCTATGGTTGAAAACATATTCAAGTTAGTAAATAGTTAAGGCCCTGCAGACATACAGTGCATATATAATCAATAAAATGTACTTTAAGTAGGGCATTAAAGGTTTTTATGCAGGAAAAGGACCCTGTCAGTGTTCTATATGTTAGTTTAATCTATAAGAATCCAAACAACATCAGGCACAGTTTTTCAGAAATAGACAAGAGATGTATAGTATATCATACCCAGTCAGTGTTGCATTTCATAAATAGTTCATGATGTGCCATTTTGTTATAGTCATTGCTGACACTGAATCGGCAGTTTCCAAGCATTTCTTAATCTATCCAGATGTTAGCTATTTCTTCATCTGGAAAGAAGGCAAATAGGTGGAGTGAGCCCTTTTGGCACCACCTTAAACTTTCACCTAGATGCTTACAGGTCTGCAGGCAAGTACAGACACATGCATACATGTACAGAAACACATACTCACTACAAAACAATGTATTCTCTAAATTTGGTTGTAGGTTGGTCCCTTTCAGCACTGATAGGAAGGCTGTGCTGTCTGGCATACTTACCTTTGGATGGTGGGCTGATGATATTTTCTGATGATATTGCAGCTTGGCTTGGACTTTCAGCACATTTACCCAACACATACACAAACACTGGGAAAAAAAACAATCACCTGATTCAAGCCACTGACATCTGTATATAAGAACTTGAATGTATCTGACACGGATGGAAGAATAACATTACTGTGGATAGCTAAAGTCCTCTCTCGGTAGATCTCAGTGAGTCAATGTTTCCAGTTCTACAGTGTGCTTTAATAACTTCTCAGAATAGAGCATCAGCTCAGCAACAAATCATATTTGCACTCACATCTGAAGGTGGGTCACCAAGCCTATGCGCCACAACAACACTCACAGTCTAACCAACCTTTAGAACAAAATGTCAAACAAAATAAACATTGCAGAAACATGCAGAATCAGGGATTAATGTCCATATAAACATGCCCTGTTGTATTTCTGTTATTGTTTGTTTTTGAACTGAAGTGACATTTGTATTGTATGTCTCAACAATCACCTTGTTTGCAGGGTATACATGTTGTCTTACATACAAATATGGCAATCACTTTTCCTTGTGTCTGATACAGACAGTAGTTTATACATATTATAGCTACATTGATCACTTTATGTGCAAAATGTCTTGCATTATGGTCTTCTCAGTCTATCTTGAAACATGGCATCAGAAAAGGGTGAGTCAGTAAGAAGCCCCTCCTTTTGATTCTGAGAATCTGATAACAAATCCTACATCAACAACGTGTAGGGTGGATTCAGCAAAAGTGGCCCTAGAAAATGTGTATCTGAAAATCTGGCCACACCACAATTTGTAACTCAACAGTCAATTTTATTTCATCATTGTGGGCATGGTTGAAAGTCAAAGAAAGACTGGTTGGCATGTGTTCAAGGAAAGTGAACCAGCAAATGAATTGGACTCATAAGCATTAGAAGGACTGTTCCATGTTTGCAGAAAGTGTCAGCAAACAAGGGGGCAGTGTTTTCAGGACAAGTGGGAAAAGCATGTAATCCTGCATTTCTGAAATATCTTCAGTTGAATTCAGTAATGTAAAAAGTGTTTGCTTCAACATGTTAAAGGTGTTCTGCTGTGAGGCTGGTGGTTCACATCCTATTGAGGTTTGGGGCATTTTAAATCATTATTTCTGCATCTTCAGATTGTTATATAATTTTGATTTGTCATATATGTGGCATGACTTAATGATGATCTTAGAAATGTAATTTTAAAAAGCATAATTGTACTCTTCAGTAGTTACAGTACTGTAGACATATTGAATTATCTAAAAGAGTTGATATGTTGTCCTGCTTTAAATTGTAGATCAGTGTCTTAACAAACTAAAAAAACAGGAATGAGAATATTGTTGGGTTTTAGTCTATAGGCTAACCTAAACAGTAGTTCTCTTCAAAACGTTACACAAGCATGTTAACAAACGTTCCAACATTTACAAAAACATAATTGTGTAAGCGACCAACAAATGCAAGGCAAATTTATGTTTTTAACAGTGATGTTTTTATGATGAATTTCCCATTAAACTGAGCGAACCCCAGCATCTCCAGTGTGGTGATAATCACGTGACATTCTTGCTGCATCTTAGAACGAACACACCCTATTACAGTAAGGCGCTCCATTTAAACTGTAAAGGCAACTCTTTAGCTAACTCTGCCCTAACATGTCTGTTAACATTGGCTGCTACCGCTATTCATTTGGCATTTCAAAACCAAGCTCGCCTGTAAATAGTCCTAACATCACTTCAGAATGACTTTGTGGAGAAAATTAGATCAGCTGTTGCTCCCGGTGTTCCCCGACCTCCAAACACACTTCACCAAGTAAGTTTAGCTGCTTGTGCTTACATCCATATTGTGAGTTGATGTCTTGGCTCTATGGGTTTGGTGTGTGTGTGCTTAGTTGTTGCCTATATCAGGAGGCCTAAACAGTGAGGTTGTTGATGCTGCTGGTTGCATCTGTTTGGGGTCACTGTCTCGGCTGGCTGATATAGCTGATGTCCTGTTTTTTGCTCTGACGCTGCTGCTTTCTTCCTATTTGCAGTGCCGTTGTGAATTACTTTCTTCTTGAGGATGAGCTAATTTTTCTGCCTTACTTACATTTGGAATTAAATATGACTTGTTGTTAGTCATTTTTGTTTGTTATGGGCTGAATTGACCATACAGAAAGTTGCACACCGCAGATTCTTTTGTGGGATTGTGCTATTGGCAAACTGCAAACCAGGGCGTCAATTGCTATATATGCTTAGTCACCAGTTTATTAGGTACACCTAGCTAAAACGAATGCAATCTATCCCAATGGATGCAGTATGCATTAATAGCTATTACTAGTAAAATTGCTGGTCTTACTAGTATATTTATTGAATCTTTTACTTTACTGATGCTTATGTTGTTCCTCAAACGTAAGTCACTTTGGATAAAAGTGTCTGCCAAATGACTAAATGTAAACTTACAGTCCTGCTATGAATTATACCTTCATGAACAGAATAATGCTCAGTTTTTGTTAAAACTGTTTCTCTTAAAATGGCAAGGGTTTCTATTATTTTTTCCACCTCAATCATATTAATGAGGTTAGGCTAAACAACAGAAATACCTGCCTGTGTAACACAATAGAATTCAACAGCCCATCTTGCACACTGCCCATACACAGTTATCTCCCTCTAAGTTTGGCTTCACAGGAAACCCATCATGGCTGTCACAAACATTAGCATAGTGCGTCAGAGAAATAGTTCAACTCAAAAGTAATGGGCTCATGTGTCAGGTTGTTTGTCATTATTATCATATTTACATCTTAACTGCGCACTTCCTGCTGTTTATGCTGCTGCTACACTCAGCTAGATTCAGTGCCATCCCTATGCTGATGTCCATGTACATATGGCCAACTGCTCTTTATTAATGTTACATTGCATTTTTTTGTCTGCTGCATTTATGAATGTTGGTAATTTTTAATATGAATGCAAGTGAATACTTGTCTGCTGCATAGCTTACATGTTTTGGCATGCTGCTGCATTTCATGTGGTTTGCTTGGTTTAGATTTAATAGGCAAGGCAAGGCAAGTTTATTTTTGTATAGCACATTTTAACAACAAGGTAATTCAAAGTGCTTTACATAAAACATAAAAGCAACAGGGAAATATAAAAAAGTTTAAAAGCAACATAAAATATAATAAAAGTTACAGTGTTATTATCAGGGTTAAAAGAGTTAAATGGATAAAAGCAATGATAAAAAGCTAAAAACAAAGAAAAAGAAACAGGACAGTAAAAGTTACAGTGCAGTGTAAGTTATCAATAAAAAGATTTAAATTAATTAAATATTTAATTAAAAGCAATGGTAAAAAGAAAAGTCTTCAGTCTTAATTTAAAAGAACTGACTGTTTCAGCAGACCTGCAGTTATCTGGGAGTTTGTTCCAGATATACGGTGCATAATAACTGAACGCTGCTTCTCCTTGTTTAGTTTTGACTCTGGGGACAGAAAGCAGACCTGCCCCAGATGACCTGAGAGGTCTGGATGGTTCATAACGAAGCAAAAGATCAGAAATGTATTTTGGCCCTAAACCATTTAGTGCTTTATAAACTAACAGCAGGATTTTGAAATCAATTCTTTGACATACAGGAAGTCAATGTAAAGACCTCAGAACTGGAGTGATGTGATCCACCTTTTTGGTCTTAGTGAGGACTCGAGCAGCAGCGTTCTGAATCAGCTGCAGCTGTCTGTTAGATTTCTTAGGGAGCCCTGTAAGGACACTGTTACAGTAGTCAAGTCGACTGAAGATAAATGCATGGATAAGCTTTCCCAGGTCCTGCTGAGACATAAGTCCTTTAATCCTTGATATATTCTTCAGGTGATAGTATTCTGACTTTGTAATTGTCTTAATATGGCTCCTCAAATTCAGGTCTGAGTCCATGACTACACCAAGATTTCTGGCTTGATTTGTGGTTCTTAACATTACAGTTTGAAGTTGAGCACTTACTTTCAATCGTTCCTCCCTGGCTCCAAAAACAATAACTTCAGTTTTATCCTTAAAAAATTCTGGCACATCCAATCGTTGACCTGCTCAATACATATAATAATTTCACTTCACTAGATAGTATATTACCTGCAATGATTGAAGATGCTTAGTTGGGAATTTCCAAGTAGCAATTGCTGATTCCATATAATTATGTGTATTTAATGTGTTTCGTTGTGGGGAGGGAGACTGGAGTAAATTATTATCACTCTACAGTCTTCTGTGCAGAGCTATAGGTGTATGCTTGCTGCCACCAATGAGGTCAGAGCCTGGATGGTGGCAAATTGTGTATTCACATAAATCTGAGCCAGCTGACTGAACTGCACTTGTGTTTCTGCACCTTTTTCACTCTAGCTCTTTTTCTCCCATGTTACCTAATTAACTTTCCAAAATATCCAGCGTTTAGATTTCATCATGCCATCATTAGTTTCTCACGGGTCTCTTGGGTGTACTTCTGCTGTAGGACTGAAAGTTGTGACCTCTCACTTGTCTGCCTAAACATTTCATCTTAAAGTCTCCCAGTAGAGCATCTGCTGCCCGGCTGGGTGTACTACAGCATCAGCTGGGATTTCACCATCCTGGTTCATTCTCTCCACATCAAATAAATCTCATCTGTTGTTGGGGAAGCATATAAGGGCTGCATCAGTGTCTACATACTTGCTTACCTGCATGTCTGTTTTGTGAGTTGGTGCATGCACCTGTGTAGTGGCTCTGGCCTTGTGGATGAAGTTTGGTAGGCATGTCAGGCATCTGGAGCATAGCTCATTGTAGCTGGACTACAGAGAGTTCATGCATTAATGAGTTGTGTTCTTTTGTAATCTGGGAAGTCATTCATGTGGCTATGTGAGGGAATGTGTGTGTTTGGACTGAAAGGTTATCATCAGCACTGGTGTTGAATCTTAAGAGGAGAGGCATTGAGTTAAATGTCTCTGGTATGTTTATGTGCTGTAATCAATTAGTCACTTGAGAAAATCTATAGACAAAACCATTAATAAGTAATTATTTGTAACTAATTTGGTAAGTAAAAAATGCAGCTATTCTTTGGCTTAGGTTTACAGTTAGGGTCAGGGCCCGTATTTATCATGCTTCCCAGAATTACTCATAAGAACACTGCTAAGAATTGACTTAAGACAAAAAAAAATCTTGGCTCAAAGCTAGGGCTGGGCGATATGGCCAAAAATGCTATCACGATAAAAGCATTTCATATCATTCGATATTGATAATTATCACGATAAATGTCAAATCGTTATTTCTTTCAAGTTTAAAGGCTGATTTTTGCTCCTGTCTGAAAATTGAAGAAACCAGATGGTTAATTATGTGGTTAAATGTTTCTTTATGGTCAGAATGGGACAAACACTTGATGCCAAGTGGATCACTTGACAAATCTGAGGGAGAACATTCATATAATAAAATAAAAAAATTCCTAAATATGATTAGTAAGTGTTTTTTCTGTCCCTTTTCCTCAACAAAATAAATATTTTAATAGACAGATTAAGTGCTAATTTGAAGCCGGCTAATTGCATGAATTGTGTTTGCTTCTATCGGACTACGGGGTTGTTGTTGGGAAATCGATGAAACGCATGACAATGTGTGGAGCTGTAAGTGCCATAATTGTTTCCATGACAATTCGTCAAATAATTAAGCAACATTTTTCCCCTCCTGAAATATTTGCGCATGTCTCTGTCTCCACAGTGCCATCACAAGCCCCTTCTGGCAACTCCTAAACACTTGAGAGAGCTCTGGGAAAGTAAGAGTGATTCTTTGCTTTATGAAATTTGATAACTTGCTTTTATACTTAAGTTTGAAAGTAGGAGTACATTTCATGAATTCTCAGCAATTAAGACTAAAATGGCACTTTCAGAAGCTTGATAAATACCGGCCCAGGTTTCTCCGATGTGAGCATTTGCGTCTTTCCTCTTTTCTCTTATCTTGCTTTTCTGCATTTTACATCTTTCTAAATTAAAACACTTGAGAGTTTTTGGACTGAAGGTTGGGCTGAAAAAAAAGTTCAGACAAGACAAGATCAGTATAGGGCTAAACAATATGCAATAATCAACAATATCATATTGTGATATGAGTCACGATTATAGTGGCAATGGTAATGTTTGCATTTCACTGAATAATCATAAAAATGATGATGTGATGATGAAAAATGATAATGTGATTTTTTTATTTTTGCTGAGGTCTGCACCAACCAAGTATGTTCCCTTATGTCTGGAGAATATGGTAATTTTTTTGATTTGTAGGCCCAGGGCATCTCTATAGGAATACAATGTTTGATTTTTAATTGGTAAGTCGTGACACATTGTACCTTTATCAGAAAATTGCAGCTCCTGCGAATTGAATATTGCACTTGGCCATACTGTGATTTCGATAATATTACAATTAATTGTTCAGCCCTAATCAGTATATAAAAAACATAATGAAAATCATAATTTGACAAAGTGACCTTTACTCGGGGTCCATTTACCAGCTTTTTATGGTGCTTTCTTTTATTTCTTTTTTTTTTCTTTTAATTCTTTCAATGACTAATGCATTTTATAAAACAAAAAAGTTTTTGGGGAATTTTTAACCACAGCTTCTGGTCTTTATCAATGAACCCTTCATGGAGTATGATCTTTTGAGCATAACATGTTGTACTAAAAACATTGGTTTTGCAAATAAAGGATTCATGGTTTGAATTCTGGTTCTTCCAAAAAATGATTAAATGTATTAAACTCGTGTTTGTAGCAGAGAGATTAAGATTAAATTTAAGTATATAGTTCTTACCCCCTCTTTTGTGACTTGGAACCCGACAGATGTATGTTGTGAGCGATTCTTCACTCTGTCCAGCTCACGCTGTCTCAAATGACCCCTGTTGAGGTTCTTCACCCCTGAAGCAGAATCTCACAGACTGATGAAAGATGGGGCTACATTCAAATTATTTTGTGTTATATTTTGCAGATGCCTGCGACCCTGTATGCAGGATAAGCGGTTGACGATGGATGGATGGATGGATGGATTTTGCAGATGCTCTTTTGCCCCACAGCCTGCAATTGATTGATTGAGAAAGTATGGGGTTAGATATCCATTACATTACAAGTCAGATTGCTACACATTTTATTCCAAATTCAGAAAGAATTTCTGGGTCTTTTTCTACCCTGACACCGATTTTGGTTCTTAAACAAAATATATGCTGATACCACCCGACCAGTCCGACTTGATATTGGGATAAAAAAGGCATTATTCTGTAACAGGAATTGCCTGTGCACTAAGTATGTGTCTGCTCACCATGGCTGAATGAATGTGATATTTGAAACACTGAATTGTACCTACCTATTGTACCTTACAGTGCAAAGAATCAGTACTTCTATAGACACGATGTTATGTTATGTTATCTTTTATTAATTTATTCTAATGCAATCACATTTCCTTTTATTCAACTTCTCAAAAGAATCTAAAAGTTATGACCCTTCACCTCATTGAACTTTACCTACAATTAACCTTTAACTTAATGGACCCTCCAAATTAAGTGAACTTTGCTATAAAGGTGTAATCTAACAAGACTGCATATGCCATTTCAGTGATGCTACAAGAAGACCTCATTATTAGAATTTTTTTCTCATTTATCATCTCATCATTACAAAATCCTGCTTTGTTTTTATCTATCGAGGTTTGTGCAAACAGTGATCACTTGTTCTGTGTCATCTCTGTTGCAAAATGTGTACAAATGTACAACATGTACTGTATACATAAAATTAGGATATCTTGGACCTTAGTTGAGTATAACCAGTGTTTGAAACCAAAATATGTTTCACCAGTAAGTGTCATGGTTTGGTTTCAGTGTTACTGAATCACAAAAGAATAGCTTTTATTGTGAGCTGCCACTTTACCACTTTACTATACCAGTTACAGTAATTTATCCATGGCCGTGAAATGATCGCTTGACTGTGCTGTACATTGCAGATGTGTATCTCTGTAGAAATGCAGTTAGAAGCATGCATTTCTCCCTTTTTAGTGTTATGTGTTGTCTCCTGTTTTCCTCCAAAGGAAGATAACTGTTTTCACATGATCACCACCAATGTGGAATCATACATCAATATAACACATACTCCCTCCTCATCTCCCAGCCTGTGCCTTTGTTGTTTCAGCACTTCTACATAACACCTTATTCCTAGTGTTTTGCTCTATGTGCTATAAATACACCATGTCCTTGAGGCAAAAACCTGGCATCTGTCCCAAAACAGGTTTGTTAACATATTTCATAGGCCATCTGGATGCAGTGAGGTTCTCTCTATGATACATTAGGTTGTAGTTGTGTAAAGTGTATGTGCAGTTCGCCGTTATGCCTGCACCACCGTAACATAATGTTGTATAAAAGTGCTGAAACAATTAGGTGAGTTATACTGACGACAATATTGATAATCCATTAAGTTATTTATGCTGGTTCCAGCTACTTAAATGTGAGAATGTGCAGCTTTTCTCTATTTTTTTTATTGAATTGTAAATCAAATACTTTTTGTTTGAAGACAGATGTCACCTTGGGCTCTCAGTGCTTACTGTATGATGGGGATCTTCTGAATAAGACTTAAGGTGTATCCTGAATAAACTAAAAATAATTGAATAAACTGAAAAAACATTGAAAGATTAATCGATAATTGAAATAATTGTTGGTTGCAACCTTTCTGTATGCACTAATAAGTTAATGACTGGACAACCAACAGTTCTTCCTTTTAAAAAAAAAAAAGATTTTTTTAGTGATTCTTTTGTTTGTATCACAGTGTGAACTTGTTATGAACGTGTATGACAGTGTGAACATTGCACATGCTTTTATGACCTGCAAAAATTATGTGTTGTATGCGTCGCCAACAATAACCCTGTTACTGTGGTGACAGTCCAAGTCACTTATAACACTGCAGGGAATCGCTGCACAGGCCTGAAGCACTTTTTCAAAAAATTCAATGGAAAACTCAGACTGGTAAACTCAGTGTTTTTACAGATGTACAGTCTGGTTCAATCCAGCAAAGTTTATGATAACTTATTTCCGTTGGTACCGGTCAGAAAGGTGTCAACTATGTGCTAATTTTTGAGGCTGTTATTGTCGTGGACTGCATTAAAGTATATCTGAAATTGTGCCCCCTCCCATAGCCTATATGTACAATGTGGGGACAAAATAACATAAACACCTTACAATATAGCACAATCTGGCACCGCAACAGTAAAAAAGATTAATCAACACCTCTTTGAGGCAGTAAAGAATGTTATACGCTTCATAAAGGATCCTTGGTGTTAAACATGTATTGAATTTCCATTAGATATCCTCATCTTTAGTAAAAGTAAATCAAGTAAAATTTCTGTTGTGTCTAGTGCCACTTAATATCTACAGTGAAGTGACCTTGTAGCAATTTTAAATGCTAATGTGAACATCAGGAGAATATTAGGGACTTTGTTAATCATTTATTTAGAGATAAAATACCATGATGTATGATCAGATCATCAGGTCTCTGATATTGAACTTTTCTATTCATACTTAAAGGTATTTGGCATTTTACAAGGTATTGCTAAAATGCCATTTTTATGGTATTGCTATTATAGTTTTCATAAAACTTTCTTCAGTGGAGCAATCCAAATTCACCAGCATACTGCCATCTAGTGGCCTCAGGTTGAAATTCAACCTTGTAGATCTATTTTGAACTCAATATGCTCAAACAAATTGGATTCATAATGTATGGCTTACATTACACACCGTTTTATATCATATCTGAGGCTGTGGATGAATCCTTGCAGTAAATCTATTCTGTAATATGTCCCAGCCCTCTGTGTGACATTGCCAATAAGATGGAGAATTGGTGATATGATGTATGAGTGGCCAAGGTGAATGTATTGTTTTAACCAAAAGGGCACCAGCTGCAGTCGCAGAGTTGTGGCATGGAAAGTGGAAATCTGACCTATTGGTTTAGAGCAGATAAAAACACATTCCCCCTGACCTTTCCGCTTCATTACCCGCTATGATACCTCATAAATTGAGGAAAATACAGTGCTGATGTCACCTCAGAAGCAAGGAGAGAGCGGCAGTTTTTTCTCTTTCTTCTGTCCATTTTTTTCACACTTGATTTATAAGTCAAGACTGTCTGGTATATTAAATTGACATAACATTAAATTTTCAAAAGAGACTATGAAATACCCTAATGTAAACAATAATGACTCAATGATGGATACATTTAAATTGATAATTATATATAATTATTTAATAATTATTTATTTGTTGTGAAATATTTCAGAATAAAGAATTATAGAAGCACACTAAAGGAATTTGAAGATTTCAGTGTTGCAAATCAACTCTTGAACTGTGAGTTTATTGTATTTATGTGTATCATACAAATATTCAAAACAAAGCAAATTTTGATGTGAGAGAACAACTGTTTTAATATATTTGATTATCTGTGGCGCCCTCTGCTGGTTCATGGGTTGTCCCCACATGAGCTACAAGACAATGAAATTGAAAATTTAACTCTCAATTGAAATTGAGAGCTAGTTCCAGACTTTAGCAAATCTATAGCAACATCAAAAACAATATAAAAGTAGTAAATGCAATATGGTAAATAAACATTACATGTGTTGGCATCTATAAAATCACTTGAATCTCAACATACCCTTTACTATTACACATCATCTAGGCCCTTATAGGCCTAATACAAGAACGCCTAACAAATACCTCAAAATGATTAACAGAATACAAGAGCAGGAAACATATTTCTGCTAAACAAACCAATATTTACTTCATCAGACTTTCTATTAATCTTTTATTCCTGTTTATTTATTTTTATATTCTTATAAATTCTTCTTCTGCCCCCTAAAAGTAATTCATATGGAACAATCTATAAAGGAACAATCACTCACACTTAAGTTGAACTACTTGATGCATGTAGTCATAAGAAATCTGAGAAGAGGCGATCATGAGTAGAATTAGTCTTAGTTTAGGGGGTCACAAATCAACAAAGGTTGTGAACCACTGCTGTAGGCCATAAGAAGTGTAAACAAATATGCAAAGGGGAAATACTACTATTACTACTACTACTACTACTTAAATCCCCTTGGGACTTTCAAAGAAACATAATTTTTGCAGATGCTGAGCAGATGATAGTGTTACACAGAACTAAGCAGACATCATTAGACCTCACAGCAGTATCCCACATACTGTATGAATGAAATAAATACCAACAAATAAGAGCAATCCATTCCAATAACTGACTACTGAGGATAAATCTGAGCTACCATAACATCTCTTGCAGAGATATAAATCTTTACGCTGTAGTCTACAAGATGCTGCTGCTGCTACCATTCATCTTTCAGCCAGTCCTGACTGTGGGTGTGTACGTGCGTGTGCGTGCATGTGCTCTTGCGTGTGTGTGTGTGTGTGTGTGTGTATGTGTCTCTTCCGTTTCATTAATGACAGTATATGGTGACGCCTTGCAGCAGGGATTACCACACCGTGAGCTCTGGCTCTACCACTGTGCGCGGTAATGAAGGAGAGCTGAGGAGACTGGAGGCACCGGCGGCTGGTCGCTTTCCACTGGAGTTTACATGGCAGACGACAAATCTATACGTGACTGTCTTACCAGAGATTAAAACTGTCTGAAAGAAACACGGATTGAGAAATAGAAAGAGAGATGGCAGCTAGTAGGCTTTTTGCACTTGTTGTGGCAACCTGCTTAGTGCAGTTTCACAGGAGATCACTGGCTAAAAGTTCAGGAAATAAAGGGAAAATGGGTTATAATAGTTATGTGTCACTTCTGTGCGATGTTGCAACTAAAGGGCATTTGTAGATTGCAAGCCAGCTCCCAAAGCTGAACAGTTAAATAGTTTCCCCTGCAAACATATATCCTCAATAATTGAACCTTAAATCTTTATCAGTTTCATATTATAATTTTAATTAGTCTATCACTGGAAATTTGATATGTGGGTCTGCTTCAACGAAATGTCAGGAACTGGTTCAGATGTTTTTGAGATATCAAGACACCACAACAGTGGTAAACCCAAGTTCTTTATTAACATGACAATCATTATCATCAGGGTATTATGTTTTACAGCCACATACAGATACACCTTCAGATTGAATTTCGCTTTAAGTAATACAGAATATGTCAATAATTATACACAGGATTTGGTTTTTATGGGATTCAAAGCTTAAATTCTAATTATTAGCAATGCCTTTGTCTCTTCTGAATAGTGTTCCTCAGCAGATATCCAGCAAACACCTATGGTAGAAGACTTCTTTAGATTTAACAAATTATAATTCATCATTAATTCAGTATAAGCATTAATAGGATAAGACTTGTGGGATGTTGCTTTTTTGAAAAAGTGATGTGTTGTCTAGTTGCAGAATGCCTGTTGTCATATAAATCACTGTGGGTAATGTGTAACTTAAAAGAGTAATCTGCAAGTCTCTTGTTTTTCATTTTAGTGACATCTTTGACGCATACTGTTTATTACTGTTGTGGTTTTGAACTTAATATACACAGAGATCTGCTGGCAGGCAGACAGTAAGTCAACAGTGATTTTCCTTGGATTTTTCTGTTGTTACAGTTTAAGTTAGTGCGGGTGGCCTTCTTTTCTTTATTCAGTTCAGACATGGTCGCTAGCACTATGCTAACTGCCCTGTTCTGCTTCAGTTTATTGAAAACCATTTGAAAACACAACAGGACACAACACATGACTTATCAGATGCTGACTGTTTAAAACAAAAATGGAAACTAGAATAATTGCATTTGCTGAAGAGAATATGTGTGATTGCTGCATCTGCTGCTGCTGCTTCTGGTGATTGATGTGTACATTAATCAAAGTTATGTAATTTGTCAAAACACAGTAAGTCCAGAGGACATAGGTAGAAATTCAGAAAATGTTATGATTTACTGTGATTGTATTTAAGGCAAATATGTCTTACATAAATGTTGATGGTCAAAAGTGTTTTATAACTAATCATATGGTGGCGCTATCAACACCACATCTCAGTGTGTTGAACACACTCCCAAGGGGGAGGTTTTGCCCAAATATTTGTTGTCTCTGCCTCACAGTTCATGAGTAATTGACCAAAAGGTGAAGCTATTGGTGCCATGCGTCTATATGTCATGCACATGCTTATTGGGAACTTGTGTACAATTAGCATTTTAATTTCATTAAAGACAACAGAAGTGTAGAAATATCATGTTTTAATGTTACTGTAGTACTCCCTATGGGTAGAATTGCATATAATGGAATACACTGCAATGTGGTTGTATGCACAGCATCCCCAAATTCAATCCAATTTAGTATTGAAGAGTTATGGTCGTGGAGTCGAATCGGCATCATCCAAGGAACACACTGTAAAAATATAATTTTCCTATGCTTCATGGTTCATGAGTTATTAGCTCCAAACTTGAAACGCTTAATAACCACGTACTGGCATTATTGAATACATGCTTTAATATGTTAAGCACATCTGTTTACCAGGTAATCCAAAAATGATTACACTAAACTATTCATATCTCAATAAATATCACAGAAAACTAAGTAATCCATAAAATAAAAAGAATAATAAGTATGGGAAATAAAGATCACAATAACAATAGTGTGATTGCTCAACAGGCTATAGGTTGAAACATTATTGTCCTACCGCATATAGATAATTTGTGAAAATGTTGCATAGCATTACCTTTACTTTAAGTGTTAAAGGTAGACTGAGATTCCAGCGGCTCCACTCCCCTCCAGGTCTCTGCGGATGTTCAGATCCTGTGGAGATCAAGCAGAGAGAGCAGATCTTAGAAAGATCAATACTCCTTAGTGGATTTCCTATATCAACCACACTGAAATCCTACCATCTGTGACATATAGGTTGAGCGTATAAGTCACTGCTGGGTGGGATCCAATCCAATAAGTCGCTCTCCACACCGTCTGTTCTTGTTGGGTTGGAAATGCTGTAGGCAGGGAGAGGTGGATGAGTGGAGCCACCAGGTATACCAGGTGGAGTGTTCACTTTTTTTTTTTAATCAGTTAACTGCTTATGTCACTGTCAAATTCACTTGTGGAGGATATTTGTCACCTGATATAACACATTAACACATACAGTTATACACTGCAAGACATAAAACAGGAAATAAAACATGAAAAGATTTTAATAATAAACTGTGTATAGCCAGCAGCCAGTTAGCTTAGCATAAGGACAGGTGACAGAGGTAAACAACAAACCTAGCTTTGTGCAAAGGTGCGGAAATCTGCATAACAGCACCTTCTAATGAATTAGCTCACAAAAACAACACACTGTAATTATTTCTAGGCCAGTCACAGTAACTTCCTGGAGTCTTGTCGCTTCGATTTTTGTACGGACTAAACAAACAAGACTATAATGTGTTAATTATATTCTTGCTTGCATGTGGTTTTAGATGGATATTGTTAGCTTCAGACAGAGCCAGGCTAGCTCTTTCCCCCTGTTTCCAGTCTTTGTGCTAAGCTAAACTAGCTGGCTGTAGTTTCATATTTACCATACAGATAATATAGTGGTATTGATATAAGCGTTCTTCACAAAATATACTTTCTCCCCCTGACACTTTGTCAGGGGGTGCGTCCTAGTACATTAGTTTACAAAAGAACAATATTTACTATATTTAAGATTATTTTCCTTTAAAAGAAAATGCAAAGTAATTGATTTCTTTTAAAAATCCAAATTGACTTATTACGGTTTGGATTTACACAACTTGGCAAACTTGAATATGATGGAAAGAATGTGACAATATTTAAATTCTAATTTGATAACTGACAGAATTATACACAAGGATTGCAAGAAACATATTACACAAAAATGGAAAATCACAAAAAGCAAAACATAAATGTGCACAGAAGGGAATTAATCAACAACACTTGAGAAATTAAGATAGCAATCAATATTTGTCTTATTACCTTAAACAATGGGGATGCAGACATTTTTTTGTATATTTTTGTCCTGTCTGTATATAATAGTTGCTTGTTTCAAACAGCTGCTCATCAACAGAAAAATAAACCTGTGCAGAACTGTTGACCACTTTGTGTAGAGATGGAAAAGTGAATGCCAGGAAAAGAACAGATCTACATTTGCACCAGGGAAAATGGAACTTGTAACATCTGGTTTTAATAAGAGCGCAATCCAAAGAAATATTTTTACAAGGAGTAAACATTTTACACCACAGCCAACACCAGAGTGACTTACAGTCACTGAACAGCCAGAGCTTGTAAGTCTTGCTGTCGATGGATGCACTGGTTCTTCAATGCTGACAGCAACTGGCCCTGAAAGTAGTGGACAAAAACTTGTTTATCTCAGGCCATGTGCAATGTAATTGGGGAAATGTAGTGAATTATGCCATTTATCCATGTGAGAAATAGGCTGTTTCTAGGCAATAAATCAAAGGCTGATGTTTGTTTATTATTAAGCAGGGTTTGATTTGACTGTCAGACTGCTGTCATACAGCCCACTTGGCCATTAAGTGAACACAATGGGAGCAGAGTGAGCGTTTTAATTTATTTATATGACACAATGTTCAATTTTAAACATTTACATTGCTATTTTTGTTACAGAACAACAAAAGTGAATGTAGTGCAAACATCCAGTGCTTATTCAGTGATTTATCGATTTGAGTTGCTGTTAGCCAAATTTAAAATTTGACTTCCAGTGATGGCTTTAAAAGAACACAAAAAATATTTCTTCAGTATTCTGCAGTGATGATATTGAGTTGGATTTTTATAGAGTAAAGGCTAGTTTGTAAAATGACTGAAGTGATCTAATGTGTTTCTGCATCTTGTCCCAAATATGTAACACAGTACGACATATGGAAAAGGAAAATTATTCATAAATATTTGGCTGCAAACATAGAGAATCAAATTAAGTTTTAGCCTATTTATTAAAAAAAAAAAAAGGATTTTAAAGAAAGACAAAAAAGGGTAAAGGGTGTAAAAGTAGTATGACAATAGTTATAGTTAATGGGTGTAAACATAATAATAGCTGCTATTTCACTTTCAGCATTTTGCTAATGTAACAGTACTACTTTCTACAGAAACTGGATCTAATATAGGAAATGAAGACTTAAAATAAATGAGTTAACTACAGTTAAAGCCGAGCTATGAATGTGCTTAATTTAAGTTAATTTACAATAACAAACATTAGTGACATAACTTTTAACTGTTGCATAAACATTATTTTACAGTGTATAATTTAAATCTTGTTGCTGTTTACAATTCTTCCTCACCCCTCCATAACTGGACTACATGAAAGGGCAGAGGTTTTATTGAGGAAACAATCATTTCTGACTTCTAGTTTTGAAATGAACGTGGCATTAGGGGTATAAAGGATGATGTAAAGCTTCTGCTTAAGTGGTCCTCTCCATAATATTATGCATTTTATGCCCAAATATGCCATGTTTGTACAGCTGGAGAGTCAGATCAGCGTGCAAAGTATGACATTGACTCTGCAAGAATTCAGGGTTTTGTTTCGGTGGCTGTAAGTGTCCACATTATTTGTATGTTTTGCATAATTGGACATAGATTGTTGGGAAACATATTGAGAAAAAAAACATCTTAACTGAAATGTGTAATCTTACAGAGTAATTTAAGATTGTTGTTATAAAGAAAAGTCTTAATGAATACAGGTGAGATTCAGTTTCTGTAATGGCAAATTGGGCTGCTATCCGAGATAAGATAGGATGGACAGCCAGTATTTCATTCAGGTCACTAACCTAACATGAACCGATGAGAGCACAGGGCAGACGCTAGACACAATTTCCACAGCATTTTGTAATTCACCCTGCGTGTGAAGGGAAAATTGTTCGACACGAAATGAAGACGAAAAGAAAAAAACTAAAACAAACAAAAGTGCTTGGGTGTAATTTTCTATCTGAAGTTGGAGCCTGGGAAACTATTCTGCCAGGCTGCTCATCAGACACAGACTCCGGGTGGCTGACAGTGGCGAACAGAGGTAAACGTCAATTAAGACATTACAGTAGATGACAGGCCTTAAGAAAACAGTGCTGAGAGATGCCATCTGGGGCAGACTGTGTAAACTGAAGGTGTCTGAACACGATGCTTCAGATAAGGCTAAAATGTTAGCAGCTTTAGACTTGTCAGGTTAACATGAAGAGGCATGAAGAAGACTTTTGGTAGCTTGTGTGCCTGCAGGCTGCTTATTTATGAATTTTATATATTTTCTCTGCATATTTGTTAATATGTTTTTAGAAAATGCAGTGATTTTGTACAAAACCTCTGACACATATGGGATGTGTTTCATGTGGCCAACATCCAGGTTTAGAGGTGTTTCTTGCAGCTTGGTAGGTCTACTCTAGTTAGCCTTAATGCTAAATAATGCCACATGAATGGCATTTTTATCCAGACTGTTTGAGCATACAAGCTCTTCTTCTGCAGTAGCCTGTCTCACACAAACACAGACACATCAGAGAGCTTCAGCAGCAGATTTTTTTGGGGTCTAATTCATTGTTTAGTGCCTTTTACTACTTTTGTTTTGAATGTATTATTTTGTCCAATCAGGGACATTAGAGAGTAGAATGGTTTAGAGACACCTAAAGCATTTACATTTTACCTCTTCAGCAGGTGCTCTAGATCATAACTTACGACTAGTGATGTTAAGGGTTCAGTGCTGAAATATACACCAAGCTAACAGGTAAAGTGTATTCTCAAAGTTTTTTTAACCAATGCAGGGTAAATTTCCTCTATCAAATAAATTCATGAGTCTTTCTTGATGGATTATTTTCCCCCCAGCTATTTCAAGGTCCATGAGAGCCGTGCTACTGATCTTTTCAGCATGCTTAATGTGTAGAAATTGATTTGGAGAGAAAACATCTCAGATGTGTGTTTTGTTTTCATCTATCTTTAATAGAACTTCAGAGAGCAGGAAGTGTGTGCGTCATGAAATTCGCCCTGGTTATCTGCTTTCACACGCTCTGGCCAGCCGCCTGCCCTCAAACAGCACCAAGCCCCACTGTGAGAGGGGTTGATACACAACTTACACATACATGTAGATCCACACACAAGATACTCATCATATAGCCATCATACATGCAACAGACATCAGCAATAAGCAAGTTTACATGTCTTTGGGTGCCCATTCTCAAGGATGCAGACATAAATGAACACCAGCAAGTCAATATTTTCACACAAAGCACAATTTGTTCAAAGCCAGAGGTAAAGATATATATATATTCAACATACAAACAAATGTGAATGCTGTTGCAGTCAATTAAAAGCCAATACTACAGTTGATCTTGCATAGTTTTGCAAGTCACTTGGAGGTTTTTAAGAGTTCAGCTGAGATTAACAGTCATGCATCTTGTTATGGAGAACTTCTCCTCAGGCCTTAGGTGAGGGTGAGAATGTGTGAGGTCAGACCATGTGACCTTTAGCTGAAGCCACTGGGCTGCCATTGGTCTAGAACAAAACCCCCAGACCCTCAACCTCCCATCTCCCCCAGACACAGAGCAGCCCTCTCTGCTGCCTGACCACTGCACTTATGGGCAAAGGGCTGAGACAAGTTGTGTGTTGGTATCTATCTTCTCTGTAGCTACATTTTTTCCGAAGCACATGTCGAACAAGTTTTGCTACCTCTGCTACAGCAGCCCTAAATGAAATACCTTGCTAAATATTGTGTGTGTCTGTGTGTGTGTGTGTGTGTATACATGTATCTGTGTTATTTATCTTATAGATATGTTAAAATGACTGAATTGAGTTTTGAAAGCAGCTCCTGCTGTGATTTAATTTGGGACTGTTGCATCACTGCCAACTTCAAGAAATAAACTATTGATCAGAACACACTGAGTGCTCTGAAACATCCGAAATCTGTGTCCACTTGCCCACACTCCCACTCTTTAATCTCATCAGGTAAAAACACAGACTTCAAACTCCACTCATTTGAAATAAATGCTTATTTGTTGTCTTATGTGGTTGAACAGAAATAACTAAATGCTTGATATTCATGAAGACAAGGCAGGCATGCTAAAACCAAAAAGGTTTTGATTTGACTATAGCTGATATCAGAAATTTATATCCACTTCAAAATATTTATCATGGAAGCTCAAATAGTTGCCATATCTATTTATTACATGCAGTAAATAAAGGTGTACCTGCTAAATGTTACTCAAATGTCTGGCATGAGTTGTTCCAATGAAAATTCAAATATCTCGTCTTTCATTCATTCTGTTTTCTTGTTTTCAGACAGCTCTTGCAAAAATATGTGTTTTTCACAAAATTTGCAAAAATTGAAATCAAGGCCTCATTAGCGTGTAATGAGACAACAAGCTCCCTGATATATCGCGTGCAGAGTTATTACCAAGCCACCTCAAGACTCTTCATCCCGCCGCTGCATGAATATTGAGAGATTGTTAATTATTTAGATTGGAGTTGTAACGATACGTGTTTGGATATTTGCACTTCCTTGCTTTTTATTTGAATTCCCCACTGGAGTGGAAGGGAGAGTTGTGTCGGCTCGGTGTGCTACTTCACATTGGATTTATTTTTAAATCAGCTGGCGGAACAAATCTCAGATTAAGATGTAGCCTGGTGTACTTTCAGTGTCCAAAAAATGAGGCAGGACAAACATGAATTTGGTTTAAACAGAGATTGATAATTGTGTCTTTCTAGGCACATTATAAAGTATATTATGTATATATCTCAGGTATTATTGTGCGTGGTAATGCCGGGAAGCATGTACTAGTTTTTCTACTTTAAAATGCGTTTGGCGAGGCGCATTGACTCTGCAGTGTCTGAATTTTAAACTTTAATTTCAGCTGATACGCGAGCAGGATATAAGAAGCCATGGTGCAAAAGCACGTTTATTTTTGTGAAATTTCTCTGCAGAAATGTGCAATTAATCATGAATGAACATGCAGCTAAAAGCACGTGTGTTGTTTTTCATTTAGACTAGAATGAGCTCTTACCTTGTGCGGGCTGGAGAAAAGAGGACAGGCTAAAGGTCTGCAGTCCTGTGCGCCGTTTCAACCAAATGAACGTTTTCCACGGAAGCCTCTTCTCTTCGGGTCATCCTCTGTTCACATGTTGATTGTGTGGATGTGTATTGAGGCCGCAGACTTGCGTATTAGCCTTCACAGCAGCCGAGGCGTATCCCCTGTCAGCTGATTATTGCTCCGCGTTACCGACTCCATCAAAAGCTGACACTTGTGCAACAAAAGGACCCGCGGATTTGTTTGAGGGAAATCTAATTCTGGAGTATGAAGAGTTCAGGCCGCAGGATGCGCAGCTCAGAAAATCAGTTGAATTCAAAGATGTAAAA